AGGACAGGGGATGCTGAAGAACAGCTAGGAAACACAAAGTGAAAAAACCAGAGCTGAAAATAATGCATATTTATGATTCAGCACCTGCCCCATAAAGACACATAGATTAACTCAAGGTGACCTGTAAGTTGTTAATGAACGTCTGTATGAGCTGAGCTGCTAATATACAGCTGAATCCCTCTCTCATTTAAAATAGCAAGTACATAACAAAGACCTGTTTGTTATCCACTCCCCACACTTCCCGTTAAGTGGGCTGCCAGCCAATGACAGTACACTGAAGGTACCCAAATTAATGACAGCATGACTGGCAGCCTACGGGATTTAAAAAAAAAAAAAAAAAAAATCAAGTTTTGTCTACAATCTTGAAACAAAATAAACACTATTCTACCAAGTCTCCTCCATTAATAAGTAAATAGGGGTATTAAAGAACACATCTTTGTTAACGCTGTACTTTCATTAAATCCTGCTCAGGAGAAGTGTTGAAAGTTTGGACAGATAATTAAAAAGTTAAAAGGAGTTTTGTTATTTGACTCATAAAACAGTCTTTGGGTTAACCTCTTTCCAGCCCACTTCTTTTACATATTGCTTGTAAGATGCTTGCAAAAATACACTCATGGAAATCTAAAGGAAGTGGTCTATAACAATTATATTATTAAATAGCAGTGGGGCTTCAAATATCAAGGGTTCAGAGTTACCATGTTAGAAAACAGCAGTGCAATCTTACAGTCTTAGTAACCTATAGATGAGTTACTTCAACATTAAAAGGCAACATTCTTTCATCCCAAGGGTTCTAATAAGTGAGCAATGAAAACGTACATATGTTCTGCAAAAGCGTGTGAACACATGGATCAGAACTGATCAGATCCTAACTTGCCACGCTGATAATGACAGCCGCTAGCAAAGTGACAGCTCTAGCCTTTTTTAGGTTTATAGTTGTGTTTCAGAGTCTTTAGCGTGGGTAGAAGGTGAGATTTTAGTTTCTAATGTAAAAGAATGTCCAATGTTCTCAACTTGCATAGTTTCAGTAAACACTGTTTTAAGGAAATTACTAAATACTTTGAAACATTAAAAACTGCAAGTGTTGGTCATGCTGGACTTTCTCTCTAAAAATATCAGATTTTTAAGAGGTGACAATTTCAGTCACACGTGCTTTTCTGTTCTTGACCTAAAAATCAGTCCTCTGAAGATCATGTATCTATGCCTTCTATTCTAATGTAAAATCTTTGCTTTCTAAAGCCCTATAATCCTCCAGTGACAGATAAAATACTAATCTGTGTATTAAGGCAGAAATCCAAATATACTGGATACACACGGTACTTTTATACCCTCACTGCAGTCAATTGTCCAATTCAGAGACTCTTCTTGTCATGTACAATACTATGAATGATTAAGAACAATTGAAAGATGAACTGATTATAAACTCAGTATATGACACTCGCATACAGCACTTATTTAATTCCTGCAAATTATTACTGTCAGCTAACTACTTGTCGATGTATGTTAGCCTACTTTGAACTGTTCCAGGAAAAATAAAAAAATGCTGTTTTCCAGGGAGTTAAGGCACTAATCACAGGACACGTAGTTCTACTTATATATACACCATCCTTTTCACTATGATTTCTTCTAGCACTATGTTTGGCATGTCCTTAAACAGAAACAGAACAGGATTCTTGTTGGTTCTTCTCAGAATCTATATTCATTATTTGTTATTGTGGTAGATGAGACTATGATTTTTTAAGTCAGGAAAGTGTCAGTATTAATACCCTAATAAATATTTGCTTCATTACATCTCTTCAGTAAGATGACTAAGGAAAATGAAAATAGCTTCTCAGTAGAAGAGAGGAATCAGGGGGAAAGCTCCAATCCACCCTGCTCGTCATGGATGATCCAGTACCACACAATGACATTGAAAAACAAACAACTGAAAAGGAAATAAAGCATCTTCCCAAATACCAAACAATTAATCTACGAAATATACATCCATAAGATAGCATCAAAGTAGATTCTTAATTGGAATTTAATTAAAAAAAGAGAACTTTGCTTCTGTAGATTCTAAAAATAGGTAACAGAAGTGACTTCAAAGCCTAAACTCCATATGCTTCCAAACATTTTCATAAGACGAGATTATCAGTCAGGCTAAAATTGTAAGGATAAGAAACACTAGTTTAAAAGCCTATGTTTCTGCAGAGTAAATCCATGATTAAACTGCAAGGGCCATCTCTGCGTGTGTTTTAAAAACATAACCCTCAAAATAATTTTCCACTGACCCTGTTGGAGACAACGATAATGGAGTAAATGGATATATTTCTTAGATGATGCCTTTGTTACACCTCTTTTCAGCTTGAAACTAACTAAGTGTCAGTGTTGAAGTGCCATTGTCATAACACCATGCCTTCGTGGCATCATATTTTACATCCTCTCTACAGGGTTACAGGGTGGGAAAAGGTAACGACGAGGATGAAAAGACAGGACAGTTTGGGACTGTTATATGCTTTCCTCCTTTCTCTTTCCATTTTACCGTAAATACTACATGCTCCATAAGATGACCTCTGTTATTCTTCTGTTCATCTATAGTAAGTAAAATATTTCTCCTGGGTGTCTGAAACAGGTTGGATAACAATGCTGTTCCTAATAACAGGATACCAAATATAAGACTTCAAAAAGAACAGATGGAAGTTTTATGAAGAATTACCAAACACTCTGGCTACAAATCCGAGAGGAAACTGAGAGGCAAACATGGTGAGAAACCAGGGAGCAGCATAAAGGCTGGGGCCAATCTCATGTTCCTCTAGGTGGTTGTAGAGATCTCGATGGTAGTCATGAAGAAGTCGAGACAGTTGATACATTTGGATCTGTATGGAGTAAGAACAAAGAAACTAAAGATAAACATGTTTTAACACTCATAGTAGCAAACTCCATGCTTCACACTCTTATTAGAAACAGTGAAAGATATTTGTCAATTGATGTTCAGACAGAATTGTGTGAAGAAAAGAAACACTCAGAAGCCAGCTCTAAGACCCAGGATGGGTCACCTATGAGCCTACGACAGGCTCATTTGCAGGGTCATTTGAACCTCATACAACACGTAACAGAATTCTTCCTATTTATGGTTTTCATAGTTTCCCCAGTAATCTTTTTATCTGAAACTTGTGCCTTTAAGATGATTTATTCTATTCCTAGATTATCCTTTCCCATTTTTGAGAACTGAATTTAAGTTCAAGTCCGGATTTTGACAATGCTGTCTATATTGTATTATTATGATTTAACATTAAGCATCCTTTTGTTAGAAAAATTGAAATCATACCTGTAAAATTGTCATGTCAGGACGATATTGTTTCCTCAGGCCCATGTCAAACATGAGAAACTTTAGCATTTTAAAAGCATCTTCTTCACTCATATGAAGTAGTAAAACTCCTGCTACAAAACTAAGGCCCTGGCAATATCCTACTTCCTGGTCCAGAAGCGAATAGGCCTTCAAAATATTGTAGAGTGACAGCTGCCCAGCTCCCAGCTGTGCTGAGAAGTACGGATGTGTTGGAAACGTGCGCCCTGTGAAAATAGCTGAAGTTAGCGACTTAAACTAAAAAATAAACAAAAAAACCCCAACCTTGCCATGTTATCAAATTAAACAGTCTTTCAAAAAGGTAGATTCTTTTGAAAGGTAGATTCTGAGTCAACTCACAGGAAGACCATAAGAAAGTTAACAATACAAAACAACTGACTCTTATACTCTACTACTGTTTTGTTACAGTAGTTGCAAAATTAGTTTAGAAATTGTCAGCGGGATAGGACAGTTTGTTGTTTGGAACAGCTGAGTCACTGGTTCTTAAGACTGACCCTTGATCAGTTTGTTAAAGGGCTTATAGGGCCTGGTTGCCTATAATAGTGAGAGACTCAATTCAGTGGCTCGACGAGTCACCCAGTCCTCTTTTCTTGATTAAAAAGTGTTAGCTTTTAGACAACTATTAGGATCCAGGCACAGAATTAGAACATCTGAGCTCTCTGGGTTGGGGCCCCCTCCCTTTCTTTCTTGTCTTTTTTTCCAGTAAACGTGTCCCTTGTCACCTCCCTCCTTGCCTTGGTCTCTCCCAGTCTTATGGGTCCTTCCTCCTTTCCTGCAGCATGAAGCTCAAACTCTTCCATGAGCTGATCCAGTTCACTAACCTGGCAGAAAAATCCCCTTTTATATGGGGTTAGTTGTTCTGCCCTGTCACTCAGCTGTGTCAGCTCCAGGAGGCATCCCATGAGCACCAGCACAAGTGACAAATGCTTGGAGAGTAGGAGTCAGTTGTCAGAGCAAAACTTTCTCTTGGTAGCAATGTGCTTTGGATCTATTCCCCACAACTCTCTAAATCCTAGCCTAAGGTAAACTATACTAATTGTAGAGTCGTAGGAGCACAACTGAGCCATTTCCAGTCCTTCAGTTCTAGAACAAGATGATGACTTTCACCCCAGACTGTCTTAATCTGTCAACTTTCATATAGAGCTGGGACCCACACGTCCTTAAACCAAACCAATCCAACTAGGTAACTTACACAATCAGTTTGACCCACAATATTTGTGAATAAAAGCTCAATTTGTCTTTTTTTTCTGCAGCCCTTAAAATATCAAGAATTGTGCAGCTATATATGTGCTATAATATATGCTATATACATATTACATAAGAGCACAGCTAACACAGGCAGCCAACAGACACAGCACTTTGTGTAGCAGTTTCTGGGCTTTGCTTCTTTGAGCTCTTGAGCATCTGGATACTTTGTCCAGGAAGGCCAGGGGACTACACTGCTGCTGACAGGTAAGGCTGAGGCTGTGGTAAGGGTAGCTCTGGCAGCTTCTAGCCAACCATTGTCAGCTGCCCTTGATGACAGGGTGCCTGTAGCCTTTGTTCTAGCTGACCTCTGATTAGGGAGGGTCATTAACAACCTGCACAATAGGGCAGAGCACACCCTCAGCAAGTTTGCAGATGATACACAACTGGGAGGAATGGCAAATACACCAGAGGGACGTGCTGCCGGTCAGAGGGACCTCGACAGGCTGGAGAAATGGGCTGACAGGAACTTCATGAAGTTCAACAAAGGGAAGTGCAAAAATCCTGCACCTGGGGAGGAACAACCCCAGGCACCACTATACGCTGGGGGCCACCCAGCTAGAAAGTAGCTTTGCAGAAAAGGACCTGAGGGTACAAGTTGAACATAAGCCAGCAATGTGCCCTTGCAGCAAAGGCGGCCAACAGTATCCTGGGCTGCATTAGGAGGAGCATTGCCAGCAGGTCGAGGGATGTGATCCTTCCCCTCTACTCAGCACTGGTGAGGCCACACCGGGAGTACTGTGTCCAGTTCTGGGCTCCCCAGTACAAAAGAGATATGGACATACTGGAGAGAGTCCAGTGAAGGGCCACTAAGATGATGAAGGGACTGGAGCATCTCTCCTATGAAGAAAGGCTGAGAGACCTAGGACTGTTCAGCCTGGAGAAGAAAAGACTCAGGGGATCTTATCAATGTGCACAAATAAGCCAGTGGGAGGGAATGAAGAAGAGGGAGCCAGGTTCTTCTCAGTAGTGCCCACTTACAGGACAAGAGGCAATGGGCGCAAATTGAAATACAGGAAATTCCACCTAACATAAGAAAAAAAATCTTTTTTATTGTAAGGGTGGCCAGACAGAGGCACCCAGAGAGGCTGCAGAATCTCCATCTATGGACATATTCAAAACCTGAGCGAACATGGTCCTGGGCAACCTGCTTTAGATATCCTGCTTTGAGCAGGGGGGTTGGACTAGATGATCTCAAGAACTCCCTTCCAACCTCAACCACTCTGCAATTCTGTGAACAGAGACATTAAAGGCTTCACTTTTACAGATTTTTTTCGAAAACTTTTCCAAAAAGCAATATTTTCATTTCTAGGAAAACACCCCTCCCCCTATCAGATTTCCCCTGTGAAATACTTCAATGGAGAAGAAATTTGAATACTTCTTTTGTTCTAGTATTAAGTGGAGCTTGCTTTTTCGTTGCCCACTTGTCAAATACCACCCCACCCTTTAGCTCCTGGAATGCTGCTGTGCTGCCAGATAATATCAGAGCTCCTGTTTCAAGAAGACAAAGCCCAGGGCAGAGTCCTTCTGCCATCTGGTAGCTGCTCTAGCCTGTCACATGGGACACTGGCATTCAGTTCCTGAGCAGGTCTCCCCTGGCCAGGTTGTCATAGAGCTGAACTTTAAAGAAATATTTCTAGCTTCCAAATGAGAAGGAGCTTGTGTTCCTTTGCAAAGGAATCCTCTGCCTGAATGACAAGTTATTACAGCACGGTCTAAAGGCAGACCTGTACTGCCTGACTCACCCAGCAAGGTTCCTTTCATATAAGTCATGAAGCAAAGTTACAAGCTGAGCAAGAACAAAAATGAAAAGAAGTTCTAAAACACAGTAAATGGAGGAGGAACAGAACTGCTAAACTCACAGGCTGATTTGTTTCTGAGTGCCCTGGTGATGACTTAACTAGGAATTTTAGCTTTTACTTAGGAGCAAACAGCTCCTGGCCCTGCTGAAAAGACACTCTAAATGAACTGTGATACCTCAAGAGTGCCAGAATGAGAAAGTTAAGTACCTACTACTTTATTTTTGAAATGTAGTGAAACAAAACATAATTTTCCACTGCGTTCAGCAAACACTCAGTGATGAGTACAGTGGTTGCCTACACTGTGATAGCATCTGGAAGTCAGTTCACCCTACCTTATTGAGAGAAGAAATCATTTACCGAACATGACTGGTGTTCAGGACCTGAAATCCCCAGTGACTGCAGTGGTTGTGCAGGTGGGGCCACAAAAGGAAATACATGAAAAAGCCTTCAGGGAATTGTGGCTTTGTTCTTGTCCACATAATGAAACAACACTGTGACACGTGAACTGGGCCAGGAAAGCAGCTGCTGTACCTTACCTCTGCATCCAGATGCACACTGCTGTCCTCATTCTCAGGAAGCACTATTTACAGCTGAAGATGCATCAGTTCAACTAAATGCGAGCTATACTATTATGGCTTTGGCTCATACTGTGTTAGCAAGACCTCTTTAGCTTAATTTGGGAAAGCTTTTTTAAATATTATAACCACATGTTGCAAGAACATAGGTTTTTCTTTCAAGGGAGAAGTTTATGCTTTCTGAAGGATTCTTAAAGATTTAAGAGAAAACACTTCTGATAGCCTGAAGTAACATAAGTCAGAACATGCAAATTCCTTCTAGCTGCCTATCCAGTTATGCTGTCTGTTACTACTACTGTGCAGCACTACTCTATTTCAGTGTGAATCACTAGGAAGCTAGAAGTCTTCAGCTTTGTACTTTCACCTTACTGAAATAATAGGGCCCAATCCTTCCCTCAGCTAATGGGCTAGCAAATGGCTCCCCGGCAAAAACAACACTTTGCATGAAAACCACCATGAAGTTACCAATTTGCCAACACATGCAGCCATTTGTTTCTACAAGCAGAGCACACAGCTGAGAAAGTACTCATGTGCAGAACCAGGCAGAAAATATGAACAGCTTGCTGAGCCAGCAAGCCCCAATCTGCTGCGTGAGCCAACCAAACTCAGACTGACTGTGCTCCCTATTGTCCAGGAGTTGTCCCATCCCTCTCCCCTCTGCTGAAGGTGTTCAATTCACTAACCCAGCACAAAACTATTCAGCCCTTACTGAGGCACTTCAGTGCGACAGAATCCCAATGTTCATTGCCAGGGGTATCAACACCAGGTATGCTGACTTGACCAATAGGTACTTGCTAGCGAATGATCTCTGCTTGCACATAAATGTCTCTCTCAAAAACAGAAGACTGCTTCTGGCACTGTGCGATCCAGGGGAATTCCTAGAATTGGCGTGACAAAGTCTGGAGGGAAACAATTGACCTACATCGCAACTGCCTATTCCCAGCTGGCTTTAAGGCTCCTTGGAGTGTTACTTTCCCAGTTGCCAAGTCGAAACCTGGCAGGCCTGTCAAGTAGGAGACAGTGAAGGTGGCATCGACCATCACCATCCTCACCTCAGCTCATGCCAGTTTCTGCAGAAACATGCCTGTTCTGCCAGATTCTTGTTTTCTATGCACTGCCTTAATATTTTGACTCATTTTACCGAGTGCTGCAAAAAAGGAGAAAATATTCTCATTTACCATATAAAGCTTAGGTCACCATCTAAACTTGACAAATCTCACAGTTCAGTACCTGTTGAAGAAATTCTGCACATTGAGTTATCAAGAAATAGGTGCCCCTGGTCAGCTCTGGGTATAGGTGATCCCTCATCAGGCAATTCTTCCATGTGGAAGAAAGGGGGTATAGCCTTTCAGTTGCAATGAAAAATACTCAAATACTGTTTGAGCAGTTATAAAGAGCAGAAGTATGATGGGACAACTCTCTACTACTACTTTACAGAAAAGAGGTAAGTGAAAATAATACAATAGGTATTAATCATTCAGATCAAACCAAGTACAGATTTTCCCATAAATTTTTATCAGTCTGTCATATGACATTTGGTTACTTGCAGTGCCTAACTTCCCCTGATGGAGTTTTTCATGGCAAATTAATTTAATCAAACTTAGTGATTATGGACCTCTTAAATTGCCCCACACAGCTTTTCAGACTCAAACCACAAACCCCACAACACAAGCCTGTTGCAAGTTCTATCATGCTCTGGAAGACATTATTAATTGTTTTCCTCGATCAGGAAAGAGCATAATGAACACTGAGTTCAGTGTGGTATTATCCCACACACAAGAGCTGGGATCCTCTTAGAAAAACAACAGCTCCTGGTTTCTCAGACAATAAACTGAATTAAAATATCCAAGGGAGGAGAAAACAATATCTTAAAAAATATCGACAACTGTATATTCATGAGGATAATCTGTAGATTATCTGTAAAAACTTCCAATTCAGCCATATACCAGTGAGGTGTTATAAAGCTGCATCAGATGGCTTACATTCAAACACAAATACTTTTGCCAGGGTAAAGGTTAGACATATCAACATCTGACTCAACAATTGTATATACTGGAATAATTACTGTCATGTCAGAAATGCTTTAATGACTGCAACAGATTCCACGGAATACTTAACCCAGCTGAGGAGCAGCCATGCGCTGCTTGGGGGCAGGACTGGAGAGAAAACGGAACAGCTTTCATGAGGGAAGACAGAGAGGATGCCAAAAAGTACCTCTGTGAGGTCTACGAAACAAATGGCTGACTTGTGGGAGCTTCTGAGATGGAGAGGTTGCTGGTAGTGATACAGACCTTAACAAAACCGCCTGGGAGCAGCAGCAACCAGAGACAGTAACAATGTTTAATACTGATCCACATCTTACAAAGCATACTGACTTTTGGTCTTATTAAATGTTCCTGGGCTTTATTATTGTTTTAGTCTAGCAGTGGCAAGAGTCAATCAATGAAAGACAATCTCACACAAGGGAACTAAAAGTGATAAGGGAAGAGGACTGGGAAAAGTAAAAGGAATGGTTAAGAATGGCATAATTTTTTTTGCGGTATATGAAGACTGCTCTTTTACAATTATCTGGAGCAATCTTTTCAGCTCCTACCCTAAAACAATCATTTCATTCCATTTAGATTTGCTTTCTTGTGTTTCCTTCTAGTACTAGAAAAAACTTTTTGAGTTTTGAACAATAAATGTGAGAGAAAATAGAAAAGTCTACTCAAGACCACCAAAAGCCTGCCTGAAGCTGACCTACCAGTCACTTCAAATTTAAGAGCCTTGGTTCCTAACCTCTCTCTACTAAACTCAGTGGACTATATTGTATGTGCCTCCACACACCAATTCACTGTCCCTAAATCAGGAGCCAGCTGCTGCTTAAAATTAGGCAGTGTGAATAACCTGCCTTAAAAAGAGCCTTTTTTTTTAATCATTAAAAAGAGCTTCTTCCATAATTGTTTTAATACAAGTAAAAATACCAACTGCTAGGAACTACCCATTAAAAAAAGAAAAAAGAAAAAAGCAAAACTTCTGCATTATTTCAAGTAAAAGTGTTTAACAGAGGCAGCAAACACTGGTCATCAGGAATGAAGAGCACGATTCAACAGTCTGCGCTTAAATATTGACTTCCTTTCTTGACAATTTGTATTCCACAGGCCTGTGGAGTTCACTGTCAATATCTGAAATACAGATGCATTACAGTTACATCTAGCAACCTCTTATTACCACATATTGCAAAGGACCTCTGTGCTTGAAATGCAGATTTTGCATTTTCCTAATGGTGCCAAGTAATAGTTCTCACTTATACCATATTAAAAGCATAGAATCATAAAGGTTGGAGAAGACCTCCAAGATCATCAAGTCCAACCGTCAACCCAACACCACCATGCCCACTAAACTATGTCCCTAAGCGCCTCATCTACACGTCTTTTAAATACCTCCAGGGATGGTGACTCAACCACTTCCGTGGGCAGCCTCTTCCAATGTTTAACTACTCTTTCAGTAAAGA